TCCATCGTTATGGGATGAAGATAACTATATTTTCACACTATGAAGATGACTGTGCATAGATTGGACATTAGATGAATCTCAACATAACTGTGAATTATACCTTGAGAATGCCTATTACAATCCAATAAAGAAACTTTGTATGGAAGCCTTTGTAAAGTTTATCTAACTGTCTTTTTTTCAGCCAGCAATTTAAAAACAGAACAACAAGGATTGCCATTAACTTGTCAAGTATAATTTGCTGCTTGGAGATCATTTTCATTCCTTCAAAATTCAAAATACACAATTATTTGGGAAGTAATTGGAGGAGCATTTTAGAAATTTGTATGGGAGTTTATTTATTTACAAGACTTATATAGTCACCTATCTTATTATAATGATTCTGGATGGCTCAAAGTATCATTAAAATGTGGTTCCCCCAGACCAACATTCTCAAAGCTCAGCTCCCATCCTAGCCCAATGCTTGGGATGAGAACCAGTTGTTCATGGACTTTTAGAAAGCTCCCTCAGATCTCAGGTGGGAGGCTGTTCCAAAGGGCTAGGGTTACTACCAAGAAGGTGAGTGATATGGGATGGCTCGGTTGGTCATTGCGAATGCAAATGCGAGAGATATGTGAAATAGTATAATTGAAACAAATGCCCTATAATACATAAATCTTTGAACCCAAGAAAATGAAAAAAAGAGAAATATATATATATAGAAAAATGTAAGGTTGTAGATAATGATATAATTGGAAAAAAATTAAAACAATAATTGTGGTTTGTTTAAGGAACAGCTTTATGACTTTTTAAAACATTTGTGAAAGTTTTATCTGAATCTGAAAGTTGGAAGAACATTATTCTCCTGTTGAAAGTTGGAAGAACATTATTCTATTAAAAAGAATGATTTCTATAAGTACAAAGGATTAGTTTTTCTAGAGTTCCTAAAAACGAGTTTGGCAAAAATCTGATTGAAAAAGTATGAAATGTGAAAATGAACAAAATTTAGGAAGAGCAGAGTGCAAAATGCACAAATATGAGAAAAGTTTTTGTACATTTTTATTTAGAGGAAAGCACTTTATATTGTTAACATCCAATTAAGGAATGTTTTCTGTGAATATGGAGTGAAGATTAGTTGCTGAATAAAATCACAGCAGTATATGATGGAGGTAATACAATGATAATGGAATCGTTCAACTTTGAAAAGTACATAAGGCAAATATGTGTAAGGAAAACTTATGGTAAAGACAAAGATATGCTGATTAAGGATATGTGAAGCTCTGAATATTAATATTAATAGCTTATAAAGTACTAAGATAGTTTCACAAGCAACATGGATTGAATTGCAATGTAGACATTGGGATGAAAAGCTAAAACAAATATATGAATAGCTCATTAAAAAGTTAATTGAAATGGAATAATAATTGGAGTAATTTTAAGATTTACAATACTGATAGGAATGGGAAGTGTGAAGAATGAACATCCAAAGAAAGAGAAATAGTTGTGTATAAACTATTATTCTGCTTGTTTTGTTATATGGAAATTAGAGTTGAGTGTGTCAGAAGAAGCATAACAGTTAAATTAAATGCAATGGTAATAATGTT